GCTGGACATGTAGGGCTAATCAGGTGACATATGCAAAAAAAAAAAAAAGAGCTACAAGACTCGTTTAACCAGTTTACCCGATTATTTTCATTTTTGTTTCGCTTGTATTTGTTTGTTTATGACATAAATCATTGTCTAACGGTGCTTTCACACCTGTTTTTTGGTTCATTAGTTTGGGACCCAGGGAAAACAAATTAAATACTGTTGCGTTTTAGTTCTGGTCCAGTTCCTGTTCATACTGACCTAACAGATGGTCCAAGAAGAGTAAACATGAAGTTTGTCCTGTTTACCAAGCTTACACTGTGCTTTCCCTTCCCACTGCGTCGTTGGGCCAACAAATCAAAGTTCAAAACAAATTCTATAAATGATTCTGCAGTTTATACAGACTTCATTGTCACTGTGTTGCTGATAAAGGTAAATATACTTTTTATTATACAGTTCAATATGTGCAAGACAATTTTTTTTTTGACAAAAAAAAAATATATTTTAATTTATAATAAATATTTATTTTTTTTATTTTTTCTGCCACAAGAATTGAACAGAAGTACGGAAGAACAAAGAACTGTTCCAACTTTTTACCCTATCTAAAGGTTTGTTTTTTGTCTTACTCTTACTTTATTATCCAGCTGATTAGAGTTCATGCAGGGCTTTTATTCTGTGGCTGTATTGCATTTTAGCTTCAAGGATTGATATGCAGGTCTGCAGTACATAAAAACTAAATTCGTAATGACTTATTTTTACCAGTATTTCAGTAATATTTTTTTTTTCACGATATTTCTATGGATTTTTACAGAGCTTGTGAAGTCTATTAAAGATTTTTTTAAATGCTCTAATTATCTTATTTTGCAAAATATTTAAAATAATTAAGTTTTGAAGAGGTTAATAGCTTTCATTGTTTTCTGCTCTTAATATAATTTGACAACAATGATGATGCTACTACACCAATTGTCTCACAAAATGTATTTGCATATGGAACATATAAATAAAGATATTTTTGATATTGCAGTGTATTCCCTATGCTGCTGAATCTTAACGGGACATTTTCCCCATATTTCCTCCACCAGAGAATCATGAGGATCCCATTTGCTTGTATGCTGCTGCTTTCTGCTACTGTGCTCGCTCAGGTGCCAAACGACCGTTACAGGGAGTTTATAAACCAGCATATGAACAACCATATGAGTGCTGACAGATGTGACCAGGTCATAGATAGTAGACGTATCACCAAAACCAACACTAATGAGTGTAAGGAGACCAATACCTTCATCCTATCCACCACCAGCCATGTCGTAGACATCTGTGTGCACGCAGGACAGCCATTTGGTCAGATGACCAAAAGCAGCTCCCCCTTCTTCATTATTGTCTGTGAACTGAAAAACCACGGGGCCAGGCGTCCACATTGTCAGTACCGCGGTCAACGACGCACCAGATATATTGCAATCAAATGTGAGAACGGCTTTCCTGTGCACTACGACGGAGACATCGTACACTTTGAAAACTGACTCAACAGTGACCGTGTTCTTCAGTCTCTTGTTAAATAAAATACATTTGACCACATACTGTTGTCTGTTTTGTTTTAAGCAGTCCTGTACAATAATTCACAGTGTAGATTTTAATAATGTATATGTTTACATTGGTCATTGACCTTTTGAAATAGGGGCAACTGTTAAAGCTAGTGAAAAAAGAATGTGCTCTTTATTAGAGATGTTCCGTTAGCAATAATAAGATGTACACATGTATTGTGTTTTTTAAAATGGACATTAGCTATTGGTTTGATTGTAAAGAACAAAAATAAAGCCCTGATACCGAGACTAGATTGATCCTTTGCAGGTAAAACTCACCTTTATGACCTGTTGAGCACATAAATACTTTTTGTTGCAACGTCTTGATCTTTTTTTCTCAGTGAAGGCTGAAATAATAATAATAATAATAATAATACATTTTATTTATATAGCGCTTTTCAGAGTACTCAAAGGCACTTTACATTAAAATCATATATAAAAGCAATACACTAAAAACATAAAATACACGGTCACACATTAAAAGCAGTTTTGAACAGGTGGGTTTTGATTTGAGATTTGAATGTGGAAAGGTCAGTGCAGTCTCGGATATGTTTGAGGAGAGAGTTCCAGAGGGAGGGGGCAGATATGGAGAAGGCTCTGTCACCCCATGTCCGGTGCTTGGTCCTGAGTGGAAGAGAGAGGAGGTTGGCATCAGAGGAGCGGAGCCGACGGGATGGAGTGTGGTGGTGAAGCAGGTCAGTGAGGTAGGAGGGGGCCTGATTATGGAGGGCTTTGTGAGTGAGGAGAAGGATTTTGTATTCAATCTGTTGTGGGACGGGGAGCCAGTGGAGGTTCTGAGAACAGGGGTGATGTGGTCACGGGAGCGGGTGTGGGTGAGCAGGTGAGCAGCAGAGTTCTGGATGTACTGGAGTTTATTTAGGATTTTGGATGATGTGCCGTGAAAAATGCTGTTGCAGTAGTCAATTCTGGAGGTGATGAAGGCGTGGATCAGAGTTTCAGCAGCAGATGAGGAGAGTGATGGGCGGAGACGGGCTATGTTTTTTAAGTGGAAAAAGGCAGTTCTGGTGATTTGACGTGGTGTGCAAAGGAGAGGTTGCTGTCGAACATGACTCCAAGGTTGCGGATGTGTGGGGAGGGAGACAGAGTGGAGTTGTCGATGGTGAGGCAGAAGTTGTGACTGGTTTTGGTGAGGGATTTGGGACCGATGATCATGTCAGATTTATCACAGTTCAGTTTGAGGAAGTTGGTTTGCATCCATGATTTAATGTCAGTGAGGCAGCTGGTGAGAGTGGAGTGAGTTGCAGTGGTAATGGCCTTTGTGGAGATGTAGAGCTGGACATCATCGGCGTAACAGTGAAAGTGAAGACCATGTTGACGGATGATGTTACCAAGAGGGAGCAAGTAGAGGATGAACAGAAGAGGACCAAGCACCGAACCCTGGGGGACGCCTTGAGACAGAGGAGCAGTGGAGGAGGTGCAGTTGTTGATGCTGATGAACTGTTGTCTGTTTGTGAGATGTGATTTAATCCAGGAGAGAGCAGTTCCGGTGATGTTGAGGGAGCATTCGAGGCGGGAGAGAAGGATGTTATGGTTGATAGTATCAAAAGCTGCAGTGAGGTCGAGGAGGATGAGAATGTTGACAGCAGCCAGTTTAAGTGTGTCAGGGACTGAACCGGAGCTGAGGGAGGAGTTAATGATGACTGTGATGAGTGGTGAGATAGCTGGGAGACAGTCCTTGACCAGATTAGATGGTATGGGATCCAGGATGCAGGTGGAGCTTCTCATTCCAGTTGAGAAGTTAGGCAGCTCCAATGGGGACACAAGGGAGAACTGAGAAAGGGGCTGAGGGGTGGAGGAGGGGGGGGGGGGGGGAGGTGGAAAAGGCGGGGGAGGTGTTCAGGTTGCTGTAAATGGTGTCAATTTTTGTTTGGAAAAATGAAAGAAAAGAGTTGCATTTGTTCACTGTGAAGGATGTGGAGGTGTTGTCCTTGGGTTTGAGAAGCTTGTTTATTGTTGAGAAGAGAGCCTTTGGGTTAGAGGAGCCAGACTGTATGAGGTGTGAGTAGTAGGTGGACCGGGCTGAGATGAGAGCGTCTTTGTATTGTTGAAGGTAGTCGGAGAGGGCTTGGAGATGGACTGTTAAACCGGTTTTCTTGCAGAGTCTTTCAAGCTGGCGCTTTCGGGATTTCATCTGGTGGAGTTCGGGAGTGTACCAGGGAGCCGAGTGTGTGAATGAGACAGTTTTGGTTTTCATGGGAGCCAGTTGATCAAGACAGGAGTAGAGTGTGTTAATGTAGTAGTTTACAAGATCGGAGGGATTATCATCTCTTGGAGAGTACAAGACAAAAACAACAAAGGACCGTCCATTGCTAGTTAAAGCCTTTTTAATTCTACCTGCTCTGCCAGTTCTGTACTGAATGTGACCCCCTCTTCCCTTTAGGCCAGACCCTGAACTGTTACACAGCTAAAGTGCTGGATTATTTGTTTCCTGATCATACTGCGATTAGAAAAAGGTTTACACTCCACTGGGTTCAAGGCTTCCCCACATTTGAAACTGAACTATGATCAAAAAACATTTTGATCTTGGCAAGCACCATGAAATGACAGAACCATTTGGGTTTCGTATAAATACATCAAAGTCCAGAAAGGAACTGCCAGAGTCAACAGAGGTATGGAGTTTTTAAACTGTTCCAGCACTATCCAACACAGCTCCTCAAAACTCTCCATCTCTAATGCAGAACACCAGCGCCCAAAATGAACTGTCAAGTCCCGGGCAAATTCAAGGTGTGTCTGCTTATCCCTTTTCTCCACAACTGAAAACATTGGCGGTACGCCTCAGGGACCAACTCGTAAGCTTTTAACACTGCTGACTTGACGACCAAATAATCTGTACAACCTGCCGACGACAATAATCCATAGGCCTCTTGTGCTCTACCGGTCAATGCGCACTGCAGCATTAATGTACGAGCAGACTCAGGCGACTTTCTCGTGTCCGCCACACGCTCAAATAGAGAAAAGAATGTCTCCGGGTCCTTTTCATTAAATTTCGGCAACAACTGCAGGTTACCCAAAATATCAAAAGATTCCTCTGAAGGCCCCCAGGTAAGGTGAGGACATCTCCACCTCCACAGAACCGTCGGCTGTAAATTTCCCACTTTTGATTAAATCCAGCTTGTAGGCTACTGTTACAGAGTCAACTTTGCTTGTTCAGTCTGGTAGCGCAATCTTTCCCCCGCCAATTGCTTATCAATCTCTGCTTCTTGCATCATTTTATCATGCTTTAACTGTAACATAAGCATCTCTTTTTGCTGCTCAAATGTTAAACTCCCGGTTGCCATATATGGCAGAGCCGGAGACGAACCAGCAGTATCCTCTGGACAGGGAGGTTGGTCCTCGCTACCTGTTAAAACACCCATCTCACGCAAATTTGCCTTTAATATACTTTTTACAGTATCTTTCAGCCGTTTATCTGAAATCACAATTTCATAATGATTTGCTATCTTTAATAGATGCTCTTTTGTACATTCATCCAACAATTCCTCTGATGGAGTTGTAACAAACTCAGCTATTTCAGCCATTTTCCACACCAAACAGGTAAATAAACTACCGCATGTACCGTGGGCAAAAGCAAGTGTCAGCGAGGTGCCTACAGGGTCCGATCCGTACCCGAGAAAAGAGCAAATCCCCTCTAACTAATCTGCCTACCCCAGTCTAACTAATCTCACTCATCCCTAGTCTTCATGCAGTCTCAGTGGCAGGTATTTACACACTGAATACCAATAGTTGCGAAAGGCGACCAGCAATTGGCAACCTTCCCCAGACTATGGCCGTGGTCCCGAGCAATTGCTCTAACCACGTTTACCACAGCACTACAAAAAAAACAACCAGACGAACCCAAAGGGGTACCGCCACTATACCCAACAGGGGATTGTGCTCCCACACAAGTCTTTGGCACCAGTCGACATTTACCTGAACGCATCAATCCTAACCTAGGGCTACCTCCCAAGACTCTAGCCTTCCAATTCCCCGTATATCTCCCCAGTAGCGCACAGGTTACCAAGACAGACCTTACACGGCTTCCACTTTATACACCATAATGCAGCTCCGTAGTAACTTTATGACGTCATCTCATTCACAACCTTCTACGAGCCCATTTATCAGCCAACTCAATGACCTACTATGTACCGGACTGGACAAGACCCCAATTTGTCACGACCCGGCTCTTGAGCCATGACAAAACGGGAGACACACAGGTGGTTAGACGGAAAAGTTTGCATTTATTACTCAACAAAACAAAGACATGGTGCTGTAGGAAGAGAGAGAGGCCGACTGCAGGTCGTATACCCCTGGGAGACTGGCCAGGTGCTCCCAATTGTACAGAGAGGCTCCGCTTACAAGGGACCTGCAAGACAGCACATACAAGAAACAAGGGAACGCCCACAGCAGGCCCTGCTTAAAGCCAGAGGCCGTCACACATGCATGAAACAATACTAGACCTTTTGGAAAATACTTCTTGCTCAATAACAAATACAAATGACAAACAATACTGTAGAATAACAGAATCCTTAAAAATGAATGCCTTCAAGTAAAAAGGCGAAAGAACACTGCACATGTTGCAGTGCTAAACTGACCATCTCTGGCTGCAAACAGAGAAATGACTGGCTAAGTCTTTTCCGGGTCCTGTCATGGAGATGACCCACCCATGGGAACATAACCCAATGGCAGTGGTGTATAACGTACTCAAAAGCCATACTTGAGTAAAAGTAAAGATACCTTACTGGAAAATGACTCCAGTAAAAGTCACCTATTAGAATACTACTTGAGTAAAAGTCTTAAAAAGTATCTGATATTTATTGTACTTAAGTATCAAAAGTAATTTTATGATATTAAATGTACTTAAGTATTGAAAGTAAAAGTAAATGCTGTTAATAAAAAAGCAAAGCGTCAGAATTATGAAGTTTATTCTTTTAAGTGCTGTGGCCACCATGACCAAGGACATGGAGCTGTGTTGACAATAATTGGGTTGGCTGTGAT